CCATGAACCTGAGAAGTTGACCCTCATCTTCTAAGCATTCACATCTGAGTGTGTTTAATGTGAGATTCACATTTGTTGTTGATCATGATGACTTTCTGTCTTGCGAGATCCTTCAAAGTCATTTCCCCTATCCTTCCCAGGGACCTGACACCTGTAGGGCCACAGTTGTCCTTTAACACCCCCACTTCCTTATAAGAAGCAAGTTCGGAGATCATGTTGCTTGGAATGAGCACTGGGATTTAGAGAACTCTGCTTTATCTCTTGGGATACTGTCATTGCACTAACGTATTAAACAAATAAAATCACACTACAATATTATTATTGAGCTTTTTGGTTAGGAGATTGGTGTGGCAATCTCACATTTGTGAATTTTACTTCAGAGACTTCTCTGTGCATGGCTTCAGTGGCTCCTGCACAGCTAAAGTTAGGAGTCCAGCTCTTCATTTACTCTGTTCTGTGAGTCTGTTGTCTTCTAACAACTTGGAAGTGAGCCACCTCATCTATATTTGTTACTGGCCACCAAGATTCTGTCTTTGGTTAAGACTAAAAGCTGGCAGAAAATGCACGGCAGGCACTCTAGAATGCTGGTGGGAACAACAATGTAGCGTGTTTAAAAACTTGGGTTTCAGTGGCCTGGCGTGGTCTCCAGCTACCAGGCAGCCGCACATGTGCAGGAGGAAGGAGGATCACTGAATCATTAACACTTTGCACAACTGGATTCTTTTTCAGTGTTAAAGCCTGGGCTTCCAAGTCCTCTTGGACCATGGATGGAAAGGGATTTAGAGTGAAACCTTAAATATCATAACTAACCCAGGACTTCTCAAGTGGAGAAACACTGTCAGTTCTGCCAGTATGGGCACTGACCTATGCTAGGCACTGCTCCGTGCTGCACACTGTAGGAGGGTTGTCAGCATTCCGGCCTCTGCTCACTAGATGCCACTGGCACCTCCTTTCTGGTTGTGACAACCAAAAACATTGTCAAATGTGCCCAGGACAACAAAATCATTTCAGCTGAGAACCACTGTTCTGGAATGAAGAGTAACAGTTTACTTAGAAAATTTCCTCTTCTCCTTCTCCTTCTTCTCCTTCTCCTTCTCCTTCTCCTTCTCCTTATCCTTCTTCTATTTCAGGTGGCTCTGAGAACAATGTGAGTCTTGGGAATCATGGAGTTTTGGCTAACTATTTCTGACGATATTGTTTTTGATAAATTTGAGGGGAATTTTAATGCTATTCTCTCCCCGTTTTGAGCTATTCATTCATTGATCTAACTTGAAAGCAAATAGCCTCCTAGTTTAATTTTGATTGTGAAGTGCTGCCCCAACTTTGTCCCCAGTCCCTGCATCTAACATTTGGTCCAAACTGGGTGCAGGCTGTGGCTGTCCAAGAAATAGGCAGGTTGGACAATTCCATATTTTACCAAGCATCTGATGGGACCCTTAGTCACTGACTCCTGCAATGCACTGCAGCAAATAGCATTCTGAATCCTGCCCACGTTTTCTGGAGCTGAGCTGCCTCTGGGGGGGAATCACCACTCGCCAAGAAGGCCAGGCTTTGCCTGAGCCCAGAATAATACTTAGTGGCTGGGAACACCTCGCAAGTCCTTTTGATTTCTCTCCACAGTCACGTTTCATGTTCAGTTTCCCAGGCAGGATGCAGCAAAAATCATGCTTTTGGGGAAACAGATTTTTCATGGGAAGAAACCAAAACGCCCTGAGTCGTCAGCAGCTTGTCTGTGCCTCTGAACCGCCAGTTTTGTGTCATTTAGTTGAATCAGAGGACAACTTCCCCCTGGGTCACCTGCTTAGGGTATTCACATCCCCTGGTTCGTATGTTTGATCGAATCACAGGATCTGTGGATCTGTGAGCGACACCTAACAACGAAGTCATGAAAAATGGTCCCCTTTCCAGGCCTGTCTGCGCGTCTCATAAATAGTGAGGGAAGAGACCGATTAATAGCCTGGACGAAAGCCTAAGGACATACGGTCTGCTGGAGAAGAAAAGTGAACATTCTCCCTTCTTGATCAATGCCAACTTTATATGGGCACAGCTGCTGCACAGGGTAAACACCACTCCAGTGTACGGTTAGCTGTGCTCCTAAGATATGTGTCACCGTAAGCTACAGGCCAGCATGGAACACAGGTCTCTCCCCCATCGCACAACTGAGCTCTTATCCTCAAAAGAACTTTGTTTCTTGACCAGCTCACTAATTGTGATTGAAAACACCAGCTCCCCAGCAAAGCATTGGAGTTAGCAACAGTAAGACAGGCCCTAATTGCTCCATTTACATAAAAGTAGAAACATACAACTTCTAAATATAAATCTCTGGCACATCGTTTCTTTTGCAATTACAGTAAAATAAGGTACCAGTTTCCCTCCGAGCTCCTCCTCGCAGCAAGCTGCTCCCCGGGTTCGCTAGTGGCTGCTCCCCCAGGCGAGCGCAGGGCCAGCGTGGAGTTGGAGCTTTGTGAAGTAGCCAGTAAATCAGACCGCCTCCGCTAGGTGCAGAGCGCGGTGGCAGCGGGCCACCCTGCCAGTGCGGTAGTTGGTGGGACCGAACTCCACGCTGGGAGAGCAGAGCGCGGGGCCTGCACTGCCGGCTCGCCTCGGTCCGCGGGGAACCCGGCGGCCCCTGGCATCGCCCGGCCCCTGGCATCGCCCGGCCCCTGGCCTCGGCGGTGGCCTGGCTCGCTGGCTCTGAGCGCTGAGTTCAGACGTTCCCAGCTGCACTCACTGAACAGTGATTTTTTTTTTTTCCTCCCTTCCCTGAATTCTTTAGCTGCCAAAAGGGGGGAAAAATCAAGAGCTGCTCTTTTAAAAGAAGTTGCCTTTGCTGGTGCTCAGGGTAAAAATAGAGGCGGCCGCTCGGAACGGCTTGGCCGAGAGTCCAGGCGTCCCGCGAGCTGGGCTGGAGCTGCGCGTTCGGGCGTGATCCCTGGAAACAGCCAGCAGGTGCTGCTCAAGGTACGGTGCAGGCCGAAAAGCGGGACCAGGGCCTGGGTGCACGCAGTCTCCGCGGGAGGGGCAGGAAGTGAAAGAGAAACCGAGTTAGGAGCTGCGCTGACCAGCGCACCCTGGGCCCTGGAGTAGAGCAGGAAAACGCTGATTCTCAGTCCAGAATATTCCACAGAAGCTATTCTAACCTGCCTGCGTCTCCCACCACCCCCACCTTGATTTCCACTGAGTGAGGAGGCTTTCCTTTCCCACTGCGGTTCAGCTCTGAGGTCCGGGATCCAGCTACGTCATAGCTATTAGGCTGGCCTAGCAGGTGGGCACTTCCGTGGCATCGGATAGCCAGCAGAGTCTCAGAGTCACACTTGTGTGGCGGCCCCTGGAGTTAGGGTCCTGCACATTCCCATAACACACATGCTTAAGAACCCAACAGGGTGTTCAGAAATAACACTTTTTTTGAGCACCGAGCTTGACTCTGTAATTATGGATCCCATTTTATGGATGGGAACACTGAGGCCTGGGTTTAAACGGCAAGGAAGCTACAGGATCAGTTGAGTCTGATCTGGGTGTGTTCTGTGCCACCCACACCACTGTAGGGGACTTTTGGGGGTGGGTGGTACTTCCACTGGGGTCATGTGTGAGGCAGGGGGTGAGTTTAGATGGCCTGAATGTCACTGGGCTCATCACTTTTCATCAGATAAACTGCAGAAATTCTTTCTCCTAGTGGTCTCAGTCCTAAACCGAGAGCCAGCTCTGTAGTTGGCCCTCACTGATTTAATGTCTGTCTGTGCCACTCAGCTCTCCTCTCTCTCCAGCCTGACGACTTTATGTCCTACATCACTTCTCTATATGCTCTTAGAATGCTCCTCTCCCCACCTTCCCCACATATAGCTAGCACCTACACTCTGTGTCTAGCCTAGAGACCCTCCCTCACACAGGTTCTAGTGTCCTGAAGGAGCCTGCTCCCACCACATGTCAGGAGACCAGAGCCTCTTCTATTCTGCTTGTGGGCACAGTGAAAAGTTTATTTTATGCATGTTAAATCCTGCATACAAAACAACATATCTGGTCATATGGCTTTCATTAGCTCCCAATTTTGCACATTTTATCCAACTTGTCATGAGAAGCCAGCCAGTGCTTCCACTGCACTCCCTGGGAACAGCCCTGCTCACCCTGGTGCACTGGGGGCTCTTTCCTCCTGTGCTATTTCCCTGCCAGTGAACCCCAAACCCCAAACTCAGCTCTACTGTTGTTTCAAGGAGTGTTCACTTCTTTACATTAAACCTGTGTTCATGATGTTTATAAATATAGGACTGGAAGTTCTGGTAGAAAATGATGATGCTTTTTTTTGTGGTTTCGCTAGCTAGGTTAGGACTCCAAAGATCTAGGCAGGATACTTACGAAGTTCACTTTGCAGGGAAGGACCATTTCCCAAGTTCGTGGAGATCAATGATGTATGAAGCAGGCATTCAATTTCAAGATGTAAAATAATAGTGTGAGTCAAGGCAGGGAGACCATCATTACATGGACAGACAGATTTTCCTATGCTTTCTTTCATCAAGAAAAATAGCTTATTTTAAAAAGTGATAAAATTAGAATTTTTTAATAAAGAACACTGTGAATATTCTTCCCATTGAGAAAATATAGTACTTTGCAAATAGAAGCAACTTCATGAAGTAACAGATGTTTTATGTAAAGACATAAAACTGAACCTGAATATCACAAGAAGTGTGTGTATAAGTAGAAAGATTCAAAGCTGGACACTTCTGGAGATATGTCTGTTTGATTTTCATGTTTTTGTAAAGAGTGGACTTGCCCCAGCCAGCAGCTTCACCGACTCTGGTGAATCCCCCAGTGGTGTCTCAGAAGCCAAGAGGGATTTCCATTAGATAATGAATTATGAAATGTCTCACACTGGAAAAACTAGTCATCTGCTGATGTCATGCTGATCCTAACCAATCCTAAGCAAAGTCCCAGCCCTCCTCTTTGAGAGGTACCAATGTGTGAGTGTACAACTAAGAAGTACAGTATAAAACTTCACAGTGCCAATACCATGAAGAGGAACTCAGACAGCTCTTACCTCATGATACAAGAGCCGGCTGGCAAAACAGAAGGGACCCGAAAGGTAATGCTTTTAAATTCTTGCTTCTGAGCTCTCTGCACATTCAAAGTCAGTGTGGCTAGGAGGAATTTTACAACTTATTGGCACTTCCATAGGCGCTGTAATTTGTATCCTTTTCTATTGTGCAGGCAGGTTAATACTGTTTTTAATATCCTAGAGCATGCAAATAGATTATGTGTTTATACAACCCACTCAGCACATATATACAAGTACATATGCCAAAGAGAAAGCTATTTTTAAGAGTTTCATTTGCAAATAGTAAATTCAGGGAACACACACATTCACACGCAGAGAAAGTACAAATATTGATAAGTTGCTCTTATCCAAATGCTACTATGAGGACTCTTGAGTTGTTTAGAACCATTAAACTTTTAGCTCTGTATCAGACTGTCTTGTAAAACTTAACTGCACCATGCAATGCTCCGTGTTCTGTATCTGTGACTCTAAATAGGTGGGGGGTGATATTGTTATAAAGATGCTTTATTAAACCTGCATAATGCCCGCACCCCAGCTTCCTTCCTCTCTTTGCCATCCCTTCCTCAAAAAATGAGACTGTTAGGTAATGTGAGCAAAGTCTTATCAATAATAGCAGAGTCCTTGGTGCTGCTGGAGCTGAGACCCCCCAAAGGTGCCACAGGGCTGGTAACAGAGAAAGTTCTTCAAATGGATGTTTTTGAAAAAAGAACAGTACATATGGCTCAGAAAAAAACATTGTTACCTGTGAAACTGTAATTTTAACTTAGTACTACAATTTTAACACCTTCTTGTACTTAAATCTTTTGCTTGTAGTAATGACACTTATATACTCTAGCCCTCTACCTGCTTTGATAGCCTGGACTACTCTGAACACAGTAGGTGTCAGATATAAGCTGACTATATCTACAGAAACCAAAGGGGCTTCTGTGCAGGAAAGAAACTGAGAGGAAGGAAAGCTTTAACAGATGGACTCCTTAAAGATACTTCTGCACGATAAAAGCAATAAGACAGAAATGAAAAAGGAGGGGAGCGAGGAATCAAAAAAAGCCTCAGAAAGGCATTGTTTTAAAAGGCACATTTATCTTTTTCTGTGAACACCGTAATCCATGATGATTTCATCCCTTATTTACTTTGAAGAGAAATGAAGCAGCCAGCAGTCCACTATGGTCAAGACTAGGGAGGGGACACACAGGAAAAATAACTAAACAAAACTAGGATATGTCAGAGAAAAATAATTTCCCAATATATTTCAGAGATTCTTTTCCCATAGACCATTTATTCATGTCATAAGAGTACACCCTTTAAATGAAAGAATGTGAAACACATGAATTCTGTGTTTTATTTGTGAAGTCAGGACAAGGGGTAGTAGGCTATAATTTGTGAATATGTGTACATCCAGGGCAGGGAGGGGGGAGGGAGGGAGGGAGAGAGGGAGAGAGAGAGAGAAAAGAGAAGAGAGAGCACCTCTTCTGACTGGGGCATGTAAAAATGCTGCCTGCCCCAGGGATCTTTCAGTGTCCTGCTGTGGTGCCCAGTTGGCAAAGCGGAGTGGATTATATGACCCCAAACAAAAGTTCTGTTGCGCTCCAGCTCCCATCAGATCTCCTGCCTGCATTGAGGACCCTGAACATTTAAATATGAATGAATGACAGAAAAGAATGGTTCTGGATTCTGTCAGGCAGAACAGCCAGCTGGCTCAGTCAGCCCTTCAACCCCAGGCCCCTGTCCCTTGAGCTGTGCTACCTGTTTGAGGACCTCCCTCAACCCTACTTCAGGACCAGGTGGGTGCTCAGTCCACCGAGGTGGAGGTGGTGCTAGGCAGAGGGGCAGGGCTGTGGGGGCACACCTCCTAACCGACTCACTGAGACAGTACATTTAGTTTGTTTGGGTTTTTCACTTCCAAAAAGGGAGAAGATGAAGCCAGAGAAAGGACTAAGCAGAGAAAGATAAAAAGAAGAAGAAAAAGAAGGAACCCCCTCAAAGAGAAGTGAACAAAATTAGGAAATTAGGGGCATTTATTGTAGAAGGCACTGTAGAACTGGAGGATGAAGAGAGGTGTGCAGGAGGGAGCTAGGAGCAGAAGGACGGCAGCCTGTCAGAAAACGGGCTGTCCCTCCTCCCTAACCACAGCCCTTACTCACGACAGACTCCCTCCCTTTCCCATTCACTCTCTCACTTAGGGCCAATCCTGTTTCTCTCTCTCTCTCTCTCTCTCTCTCTCTCTCTCTCTCTCTCTCCTCTCTCTCTCTCTCTCTCTCAAATCTATTTTATTCTTGC